CCACCCCCTCGTGTGCCACAGTGCCAGCGTGCTACTCGCTAACAGCACTTGCCCCGTACAGCCTCAACAGTCTGTTAAGGCTGTACGGAGGATCTTTGTCTTGGAGTTTGCGTGAGAGTTTCTGTGTGTGAGTCTGTGAGTGTGTGTGCGAGAGGGTATGTGTGTGTGAGAGAGCATGTGTGTGTGTGAGAGCATGTGTGTGTGTGAGAGAGAGTTTCTGTGTGTGAGTTTGTGTGTGAGAGAGTATGTGTGTGTTAGAGTACGTGTGTGTGAGTTTGTGTGTTTGTGTGTGAGGGTATGTGTGTGTTTGAAAGTTTGTGTGTGAGAGTATGTGTGTGTGTGTATGTGTATTTGTGTGTGAGAGTGTGTGTGTGTTTGTGTGTGTGAGGGTATGTGTGTGTTTGTGTGTGAGTGTGTGTGTTTGTGCGTGTGAGGGTATGTGTGTGTTTGTGTGTGAGTGTGTGTGTGTGAGAGTTTGTGTGTGTGAGAGTGTGTGTGTGTGTGTGTTTGTGTGCACTTGGCCTGGCACAAGCATCGTGGTGACGTCACCGCCACTTAGTGGCGAATGGCGGTTGTTGTTGTTGTGTGTTTGTGTGTGTGTGTGTTTGTGTGTGAGGGAGAGTGTGTGTGTGTTTGTGTGTGAGGGAGAGTGTTTGTGTGTGAGAGTGTGTGTGTTTGTGTGAGAGTGTGTGTGTGTTTATGTGTGTGTGTTTGTGTGTGTGTGAGTATGTGAGTGTGTGTGAGTTTGTGTGTGTTTGAGAGTTTGTGTGTGTTTGAGAGTTTGTGTGTGTGTTTGTGTGTGTGTGAGTATGTGAGTGTGTGTGTGTTTGTGTGTGTGTGAGTTTGTGTGTGTTTGAGAGTTTGTGTGTGTTTGAGAGTTTGTGTGTGTTTGAGAGTTTGTGTGTGAGTATGTGAGTTTGTGTGTGTTTGAGAGTTTGTGTGTGAGTATGTGAGTTTGTGTGTGTTTGAGAGTTTGTGTGTGTGTTTGTGTGTGTGTGAGTATGTGAGTGTGTGTGTGTTTGTGTGTTTGAGAGTTTGTGTGTGTGTGAGTATGTGAGTGTGTGTTTGAGAGTTTGTGTGTGTGTGAGTGTGTGAGTGTGTGTGTGTTTGTGTGTGTGTGAGTTTGTGTGTGTTTGAGAGTTTGTGTGTGTTTGAGAGTTTGTGTGTGAGTATGTGAGTTTGTGTGTGTTTGAGAGTTTGTGTGTGAGTATGTGAGTTTGTGTGTGTTTGAGAGTTTGTGTGTGTGTTTGTGTGTGTGTGAGTATGTGAGTGTGTGTGTGTTTGTGTGTTTGAGAGTTTGTGTGTGTGTGAGTATGTGAGTGTGTGTTTGAGAGTTTGTGTGTGTGTGAGTTTGTGTGTGTGTTTGTGTGTGTGTGAGTTTGTGTGTGTGAGAGTGTGTGAGTGTTTGTGTGTGAGTTTGTGTGTGTGTGAGTTTGTGTGTGAGTGTGTGTGTGCATGACGGTGGGAGGGGTGGTGTCGTGGCTTACACATTGAGCTACGACCCCGGCCACCCGAGTTCGATTCCCGCTCACGACCAGCAACACCAGTGGCGAATACCTGAACCGGTCCTGGTGCAATCTGTCAACATCGCCACTGGGGAGACAAAGGCGGCCGGGCGTGATGTTAGCCACCCACCCCCTCGTGTGCCGTGCCGCTCTTCATAGGTGCTCGCTTACAGCACTTGCCCCAACATTCTGTGAAGGCTATGCGTGGGATCTTTGTCTTTTTGTGTGATGGAGTTGTCAGTTCATTATTGCGTTAAACAACACGGTCGCTCAGTAGGGGAAGGAGAGAGTGGAGGAGGGCGAGGGGGGTAAAAAGGAGTGCGAGTGGGGGGGGGGCATCAAGAAGAGCGAGAGGAGTGAGGGAGAGACGGGGTGGGGGGGGTCACAGTGGGGGGAGAGTTTGGTGGTGCGGGGGCAGGAGGTGGGGAGGGCCTGCCCCGCCCACCGCCCTGAGCCCCATGGAGAGTGAATGACGCTAAACGCTTCCGTGACCCCACGGGGATCGGGCGCTGGGGCCCCCGCAGCGAGGGGACCCCTCGACCCCCGGGACCCTCCAGAAACCGCGGTGTCCCTGGGCCCTGGGCCCCTGATTCCCTCGAATTCCGGACCCCAGTGCCGTGTTTAGGAGACCCCCAACGCGATGTGGTGAGGGGGGGAGAGAGACGATGTGGGGGGGGTGGAGGTGGGGGGGGGTCTCGCGACCACAATTAAAGTGATTAATCACATCGAGACGAGCAGAGCACGAGTAAGCGGATGCGAGTGTGACGACGTGAGCGTGTTTGAGAGTGTGTGTGCGTGATTTTGTGTGTATGTGAATATATGTGAGAGAATGTGAGTGTTTTTTTATGGGGAGCGGTGGTGTAGCGGTTAGCGTTACGCTGCGCTATGAACCTGGCGACCCGAGTTCGATTCCCGCTCATGGCCAACACCAGTGACGATTATCTGAACCGGTCCTGGGCTTCCCCTAGGTCGACTCAGCCTCAAATGAGTACCTGGTGCGGTGTGTAAACATTGCCACTGGGGAGACAAAGGTGGTCGGGCGTGGTGCTGGCCACCCACCCCCTCGTGTACCGTTCCGGCCTTCATAGGTGCTCGCTAACAGCACTTGCTCCGACAGTCTGTTAAGGCTATATGGGGGATCTTTGTTGTGGTCGTGGTTACGTATGCCCCCACCGAAGACGAACATCCGTGGAGGGATGCAGGCTAGGCCGATGAGTCAGATGCCTTCTATGACCTGTCACAAGTGCTAGTTAAAGTGGCCACTCGGGATAGAGTCATCTTGTTGGGCGACTTTAGTGCCCGCGTTGGTAAATGATGCTGGCATCTGGTCTGGAGTGATTGGAAGGCATCGGGCAGATCAGCTCAATAACAACGGTAGGAGGCTGCTAGATTTTTGTGCAGCAAATGGGCTTGTAATTACCAACACGCTGTTCCGGCATCGGCGTATCCACACAACATCATGGATGCATGCCGGGTTCAAGCAAGAACATCTGCTGGACTACATAGTGACGGAACAGCGGATGCAGGCCCATGTCCTTGACACCAGGACCTACCGTGGAGCTGATCTGCCCACTGACCATCGACTTGTCATCTGTAAGATGCGCCTGCCATTATTCCACTCCGGTGGTGGGTGTACACCCAGAGCCCCATTCAAACCCATAGTGGCTTGGTCTCAGCTGATGAAAGTTGCAAGCGATAATTTAATCATCACTTGCAGCTGGGGTTAGCATCGTGCCCTCTCCTCCTGATGTTGAGGGCAAATGGGCAAGGTTTAGGACTGTGGCTCATGCAGCTGCAATGGCTGCTTTGGGTACACGGTCCAGACCACCCCAGAGACCCTGGCTGACAGAGGTGTTCAGGATGGCTGAGAAAAAGCGACAGGCCCACTCTCATTATCTACAGCATCCCACGTCAGAGAATGAGGAGGCTTACCACAGCCTTCGCTCGAAGGTTCGGAGAGCCGTGAGGTGCTGCAAGGATGGGTGGTGGTCACGGATTGCTGAGGAGATCTGCCTCAGTGGCCCGCGATCTCAAGTCGCTCTTTACTTCATCAAAAAAGTAACTTGCAGCACTACACCTATTACCATCATGAGGGGAAAGAATGGTGATCCAATCTCTGTCCCCCAGGAACAGGTTTGCAGATTTGCTGAGCATTTCTGTGAGGTCCTGGGGGAGCGGAAATCCCTCAGCCTGGAAATACATTGTGGGATAAAGTGGGGATGACCCTGCTGAGGCTGCGGTGCCTCTAATATTGGAAGAAGTAGTCACCCCCTATGAGTGGCTGGCTGAGGTGCCATCTGTTGAGGAAGTACTGAAGGCGATCTAGAGTCTTAGAACAGGAAAGGCACCGGGCAGAGATGATCTCCCAAGCAAAATGCTGAGGGAGGGTGGCGTTTGTGCACAGACTGCCCTACATGACATCATAACAATAGTCTCGACCACTGGACGGGTTCCGTAGGATTGGAAGGATGCCCTGGTGGTCCCCATTAAGAATGGTGACCGCACAGACTGTAACAACTACAGGGGCTCGATTTAAAGCTTTCGTGACTGCAGGGATCCATCTTCTTGGTTCTTTCGGTAAAGTCACGTAGAAGGGAAGTAATAAAATAATAAAAATAAAACATAATAAAATAAAATAATTCTCACGACGTTTCGGCTACAACGCAAGCAGCCGTCTTCAGCCGTCTTCACCTGAAGACGGCTGCTTGCGTTGTAGCCGAAACGTCGTGAGAATTATTTTATTTTATTATGTTTTATTTTTATTATTTTATTACTTCCCTTCTACGTGACTTTACCGAAAGAACCAAGAAGAACTACAGGGGCATCTCACTCCTCAGTATGCCGGGAAAGGTCCTGGCAAGAATTATTCAACATCGCCTTGCCAGGCACGCTGAGGAGAGGCTTGCGGAGCCCCAATGCGGTTTCAGGAAAGGGCGGTCCTGCACAGATGCCATATTTTCTGTCCACCTGCTACAGCAGAGGTGTAGGGAATTCCAACAAGACCTACATCTCTCCTTAAATTGACCTGGTCAAGGCCTATGATACCATCAGTAGGCATGGGCTCTGGGTTTTTCTTCGTGTTTTCGGAGTCCCTGACTCTTTGCTGACAATCATTAAGGACCTTCATGATGGTGAGCGGGCCCGAGCAAGACTACATGGCTGGGAGTCGGAGCCATTCCCTGTTCACCTTGAGGTACGACAGGGGTGTCCTCTGGCTCCCACATTATTTAACATCTATTTCTACCACGTAGTTCGTGAAGCCTTTGATGGCTGTACGGGAGGAATTTCCAACCGGTACAAATACAATGGGAGGCTGATAAATGCCCGGGTGCGATCAAGGGATGACTCCCTATTGGTCAACCATGTTATATGTAGTGGCATATATTGAGCCACTATGGCGTTTAGCGCCAGCTACTGAGAAAAGGGTGGAACTGTGCATTGTTGACTCTCTCTGGCACCAGAGTATGTAGGACATGGAAGGGGTCCCGAGGGGGCATGGTTCTGGTGACGGTCAGAAAGAGGGCAAGTGAGGACGTGACAGTCTGGGTGAACCCGAGAGGGCACGTGACCAGGTGAGGGTAGCGAGAGGGGCCAAGGGGTGGCGAGAGGGACATGTGACATGTGGCCTAGAACCTTCTGGAAGGATCCAGAAGGGGGCATAGCTGAGGGTGGAGCCAGGCCACGCTCAGTGGCATAAAAGGGAGGTCCCGAGAGCTCATCTGGGCTGTCTTCAGGAATCAACCCACGGTGCTACGTCTCCTCGCTCTTCGGTTTTCGGTCGTCACGTTCAGCATCATGAGTCAGACAGTACCTTACTGACCTGACTCAGTTGATTAGTTATCCCATTGGGGTCTGAGTTAACCATGGTAGTTACCACCTATGTCGTTATCCCGTATGTGTTATGTAGTACCCTGTTGGGGTGTTGCCACCATGTTCAAGTGTGTGCCTCCGTGGAAACTACTATATCTGGCATCAGAAGTGAAAAATAATAGCTAGGTGGTAGCCTTAGTGTAGGTAAAATGTTTACGAGACAAAGACAACTCACCAGGGCGTCTTCTGATGAGGAGGACGGCAAAGGGGTGATTCCTCAGACAGCCCCAGGAGTTGCAGCCCCGGAGATTGAGTGCGGGGGAGATTGGCCGGCGGAGCAGCATGAGGAGCCCGACCTCGCATGGCCGCCGTCGTCGGAGAAAGCGTGCCGATCGCGTGGCGCCCATCTTTTCGACTTATTGGCCGCCACGGCAGCACTGGCCGCTGAGATGGAGCTGGGAGAGCCGGTGATAGAGGTCAGAGTGTTGGAGCCGCGAGGAGACGAGCTCGCCGCTGCTGAGTCCCGCGCGCAGGAAATGGCGGATGTTCAGCCCGCACGCGCCGCCGCCATTTTGGTGGACGGGTGGGACGGGGTTCCCGCCAAAATAGACCTCCCGCCAAAACTGCGGTCCGAAGTGCCAGCTCTACAGAAAAGTCTGCTTTTTGTAATTAATGTACTGCTGCGGAGTGTGACTGGGCGGTGTTCCACCGCCGTTTCACTGCTTCCTGTGACCTGGCGGGGTGAACTGAGGTGGAGACGCTGCCCACCACGTTTGACAACGATGCCTTGGCGGCGTTCTATGCCATTCTGCCAGAGGACCGGGTAATGCTGCCGCAAGTCCTCGCGCAGATGGTGGGAATTTTTGACCCGCCATCCAATATGCGACACAAGTTTGCTGCGCGAAGGCGGGGGGAGGCCGAGACTCCCCTTGCCTTCTGCAGCGCACTTATGTCACTGGCACAGGCTGCATACCCTAAAATGGACAAAGACAGCCTGGATTCCTTGGTCCTGGAACGTATGTTGGGGCTGGCCCAGGAACTGAACATTAGTCTGCCAGCCACGGAAGATGACGACTCGTCTTCGCTAAAGATTGCGCGGCGCACTTTCATTTGAAGCGGCTCGCAATGGTGGCTGTGTGCGCAGGGCCCTCCGAGATGGCGGGAGCACCCAAAGGCGCCGAGCCTCTGCAAGTCTACGCGTCTCTCGATGGCAACCGATGGAGGAAGGACGATGCAGGGCGAAAAAAACGGCGAGTCTTCCAGAAAGGGACCTTCTCTCATCCAAGGAGCACCCCAGTCGTCTGCGAGAGGTGAGGAGTTCACAATGTGTGCGGATCCAGTTCGGTCGCAGGTGCTGGTTTGTGTATCCGTTGCGACTGAAGCAGTTTTTCCCGTCTCGCGGCGTCCCCTCATCTCCACTACCCAGGGGCCGGGTGTCCGGTGTGTCTGACGAGCTGGGGCGTGCGTCCGCTGAGTTCGTGCCTCAGGGGAGTTCTGTTGTTCCGCCCACAGGATGCGAGCACCTGACACCCTCGACGTCACCTGTTGCGCCGACCAGAAGTGGCCTTCAGTGAGCTCCTTCGACGTGGTCCCATCAGTGAGCGCCTCCGGCAGGCAAGGCTGCGTTGGCTGGGAGCTGAGTGGACTTGCCGATGACTGGTACCATCGGTGTCAAGATCGGCCTCTGTGGAGTAGGCTCGTGAAGGACGCTACTGGGCAGCTGAAGGCAGTCGCCCTCCAGCAACAACGGAGGGCAGAGGAGCGACGCTCACAACAACGAGCGGAGCGCCAGGTGGCTAAAGCACACCAAGTTGGCACAGTAGGGGGCACAGGCGGTGCATCGGCCAGTCATCTCGGTCATCTCAGTCAGTCGACCCGTGGCACCTGGGTCTGCCCCGTGACCTCCTGCCAGCGGGCGTTCGACACTTCACGTGGCCTCAAAGTGCACCTAGCCTGTCACACAAGCGCCGTGGTGACGTCACTTCCATTTAGGGGCCGTCCATAAATGACGTCACGCACCTAGGGGGGGGGATCAGACATTTTTGACGATGTGTGACGTGGTGGGGGGGTTGAGAAATGTGACGTCACATCAAAATGCGCAACTTTAAACAAATGTAGACAACACGTTCTCCTTAATAAAATAGACTTTTAAATAAATGTTTTCTCCTACAACATCAGAGTGCAGCGCCACATTAAATACGCACTACAATGACAATAGTTTAAAGCGATTTGAAGCATGTTTTTTAGGGGGGGGGCAGAGTTTTGTGACGTAATATTTGAGGGGTGGTCTGACTTTTTGTGACGCCGTGTGACGAGGGGGGGGGGAGTCAAAAATCGTCCAAAATCGTATGACGTCATTTATGGACGACCCCTTAGTGGCGAATGTCGGTTGTTGTTGTGCTCGTAAAAGTGTTTGCGTGTGAGTGTGTTTAAGAGTGTGAGTGTGTGTGAGATTGTGTGTGTGCCCGTGAGTGAGTGTTGTGGGGAGTGGGGAGTGATAGAGACACGGGTCGCGTAGCGGTTCGCGCTACGCTGCGCTTCGAACCGAGTTCGATTCGCGCTCACCGCCAACACCAGTGACGATTATTTGAACCGGTCTTGGGCCTCCCCTAGGTCGACTCAGTCTCAAATGAGTACCTGGCGCGGTGTGTAAACATCGCCACTGGGAAGACAAAGGCAGCCGGGCGTGGTGCTGACAACCCACCCCCTCGTGTGCCGTACCGGCCTTAATAGGTGCTCGCTAACAGCACTTGCACCAACAGCATGTTAAGGCTACACGGGGGATCTTTGTCTTTAGGCTCATGACAGTGTGTGTCTTTATGAAGGACGCTCCTGGGCAGTTGGAGGCAGTCGCCCTCCAGCAACAACGGGAGAGCAGAGTAGCGACGCTCACAACAACGAGCGGGGCACCGGGCGGATAAAATGCAGCAAGTTGGCACAGTAGAAGGCACAGCTGGTGCATCTGCCAGTCACATCTCACTCAACCCATGGCACCTGCAGGGTCTGTGCCGCGACCTCCTGCCACCAGCCAGCCTGCGGAATTTCACATTTCACGTAATAGCCTCAAAGTGCACCTAGCTTGGCACAAGCGCCGTCACCGCGCCACTTCTTGGCGGCTATTGTATGAGCGTGTGTACGTGTGTGTACGCGTGTACGCGTGTGTACGTGTGTGTACGCGTGTGTACGCGTGTGTACGTGTGTACGAGTGTACGAGTGTGCATGTGTACGTGCAGACACACGCACTCTATGTGCGTCTCTGGGTCTCTGTGCGTGTGTAAAGTAGTAACTCGGCAGGAGACGACTTCACGGGTAGCACACTCTTTATTTTCACCAACTTGTAGTTACACGGATGACTAACACCCTACTTCGTTACACGGGTGACCAACACCCACTTAGCTACACGGGTGACGGACACCCACTCAACTACAACTTCGTTACACGGGTGACCAACACCCACTTAGCTACACGGGTGACCAACACCCACTCAGCTACACGGGTGACCAACACCCACTCAGCTACACGGGTGACTAACACCCACTCAGCTACACGGGTGACCAACCCCCACTCAGCTACACGGGTGACTAACACCCACTCAGCTACACGGGTGACCAACACCCACTCAGCTACACGGGTGACTAACACCCACTCAGCTACACGGGTGACCAACACCCACTCAGCTGTACTGACACGGGCTCTTACGCCCTGTAGCCTTCCGGGACACACCCAGCCGGGGTGCCCGTCTCGGCTCTGGGTACCACCGTCCCGACCCACACGGGCGTCGGACTACGGTCCCCCCAGTCTCGGCTCCGAGCCACACAGGGCCCCTACCTCCTCCACCCCGTCTTCGGTCTTCAACTGGTTAACACTGACCACGAGTGCTCTCGCGCGTCCCCCTTTATACCCCTCCTGCGGACGTCGCTGAGAGTACTCACTTATCTGACCAATCACTGCGCACTCGCTACGATCCTCTTTTCCCAGCTTGTGTGAGCGCGCCTCACCACCGGCGCGCGCGTCCATGCCACGCCCACACCGCGTGCCCAACCCCGCGCCCCGTGATCCATCACTGCCGGCGCACGTCAATACCACCACTACATCACCCCCTACCACATAGCTCGCAGCCGACCCGGCTGCTAATAAAACCTACAACACCCCTTCACCCCCATGTGTGCCCCGTAACATAACACAAACCCTAACAACACAACATGAACACCGCAATCCGCAAAACCCAGCAACCGCCACACCCGCAACAAGAACAACATGCACAATCCAGCGAGTGGCAACGATACTGTGTATGCGGAAAGAGTAACAATAAAAAAAATTTCTTTAATCATTTTCTCTTCTTTTCTCTCCGACTCATGCAGCGTCCCAATGTCCGAGCGTCCCTTGAACGGGACATTACCCCGGCAGAGGGGGAAGCCGGTAACGAAGTCGGGCTTTAACAAAAAAAGAAATTTTTTTTTTTTTTTCATGAAAAGTGTTGCGTCCTTGACCGAGTCCGCCTTGCCGGACCGTCGTACGGCACAGGACGCAGTTGGCCATCCGGCGGCGCCGGCAGTTCAGGAAGGCATGGGCCAGGCATCGGGGCTCCGTGCGAGCCGCGGGGTTCCGGTTCCCGACGGTCAACAGCCGTCAGGTCCGAGACACCTGGGGGTGGGTCAGGTGGAGACACGTGAGGATCAGCCTGCGACACATCCCTCCCCGAGTCGACGGTCACATCACACGCTCGGTCGTCACGGCACAACCCGGGGTCACGCGGCGCCGCGTAGGGTTTCAGTCGGGAGGAGTGCACGTACCAACGGCGTTTTCCCCATTTAATCTGTATACTCTGGGGTCGTGCAACCCGCACAATTTCCACCGGTCCCCTCCATGGTCTCAACAGTTTGGGGGACGTAGCCAACGGTGCGTGTGGACAATGCAGCCAGGCCTTATCGCCCGGTTCCCAATTGTGCGTATGCACCTTCCGTTCATGCAATCGCTCGTTCGCGATCTGCCGAGAGCGTGAATTCAATCTCGCAGCCTCTCGCGCCTCAGCCAATTTGGCGATGTTAAACTTAATGTGGTCTGCCAATTTAGATTTCGCACGTGGCTGTGAAATCCCCAGTTGGACGTCCATGGCCGGATCAGCCTCCCGCCCATACATCAGAAAAAATGGAGAAAACCCCGTCGCCGCATGGGGTGCCATCCGATAGGCCGCTAGTACCCCCGGTACCTGTAAGTCCCAATCCACCTGGTCGTCGCATACCTGTTGGCACAGCATAGACGTAATCAGTCCTGTTCAGACGTTCAACCATACCGTCAGTCTGCGGGTGGTACGGGGAGGTACGTACTTTCTTTGTACCCAACAGGTCGCACACCTCGCGCAACAAAACACTCGAAAAGTTTTTCCCTTGATCCGTCAGCAAGCGTTCAGGGGCGCCTTTGTCCAAAACGTAACCTTGGACAAAGGCGTCCGCCACTGCCGCAGCCGACTGGTTGGCGAGTGGCCACGCCATGGGCCAGCGGGTGAAGTACTCTACGCCAACCAGCAGGAACTTATTTCCCCGAGGTGTAGTGGGAAAGGGCCCCAAGATGTCTAGCGCGACCAATTCGTTCGTGCGCGAAACTTGAATGGATTGAAGCGGTGGATTAGCCGCTATTGGTGGCGGTTTTCTTTTAGCGCACCCTACACACCCCTTAAGAATGTTCGCCACGTCACTGACCATCCCAGGCCAATAGTAGTCTCGCTGAATGAGGGCGAGCGTTTTGTGAAACCCCAGATGCATGAGTCGTTCATGGGCAGCCAGGACGACCTTACCCCGTACAGCAACCGGCACCACAAGCATGTGACGCCGGGACATGGAGTCCCACTTCATCAAGAGGCCCTGTCTGCACACCCAGGAACCGACCCGCGTTTCCCCGCCCTCGGGAACGTTAACCTTCCGACGTAGCGCGAGTAGGGAGCTGTCGGCCATTTGCAGACGGCCCCACTCGATGAGAGGCAATGCTAACAGCGAGTCCCTCCCCGTGGGGGCGTCGACCCCCGTAGTATCCGTGGCGGCTAGCACCACTTCCGCGGGGACATCGACAGAAGGTTTACACCGCGCCGATCCCAACTGACATGCGCATTCCGTACGCGTCGGCAACCGTGACAATGCATCCGCATTCGAGTGGCGCAACCCCTTGCGGTAAATCGTCGTGAATTGGTAGTCCTGAAGGACCTCCAACCATCGGGACAATTGGCCGGATGGCTGCGCCACCCGCATAGCGTATTGGAGAGCCGCATGGTCCGTGCGAACCGTAAAGTGACGGCCATACAGATACGGCCTGAATTGCTGTATAAAAAACACAATCGCCAGCAATTCACGCCGTGTCACGCAGTAGCGTTGTTCCGCGGGGGACAGAACCCTGCTACCGTAGGCGACCACCCGTTCGACCCCCCCGACCACCTGTGAGAGCACTCCCCCGATACCCGTGTTACTGGCATCCGTGTCGAGCACAAACGGTTGCGTGAAATCGGGGTAACACAAGGGGGGAGCCTGCACCAAGGCGTCACGAAGGGAGCAGAACGCGGCCTCCTCCTCCGGCCCCCAGTGAAACCGCACCCCTTTAGCCGTCAAGGCGTGCAGGGGCC